ATAGAATGTTAATCAGTTACATCACTGAGCACATAGTTTAGTTTAGCAGGCTATTTTTTTCCATGTCAAGTTTTTTTTCAGTGAAGGAATTTAAGTGCAGTATTCTATCATAGCTCCTTATCTCATCCCAGACCWCACTTGGGCAGTAAGATCATTATTGAGTAGTTAAAAAAAACCCACAAATTTAATAGAAAGATCTTTACTACATATAGTAAAGTAAATTTTAGATGCCTTAACATCTCAAATGTCATGTGTGTAAGAGAGGTGGAAGAAAAAAGAGAGGGGAAAAAAGGAAAAATATTTAAAAAACTATATAAAATGTGTTTTCCTAATATTAGAATGAGGAAATAATTATAATTGTAAAAACCTACAGAAGTATTAAAGGAAAGTATGAAATTTAACTACCAAAAATATTTGCAGGCCAAAACATTAAAAATCAAGATTAAGTTAATTAGAACTAGGAATATCTTTCCAATATTTTTAATCAAAAGAGAATAAGCTTAACACAAAAAGAACTTCTGAAATATGAATTAATTTATTCAGCTCTAAAGTGACAATAAGAAAGAACACTTAGCTCAAAGTTTTGGGCAATTCGGTTAGATATATGTGTTCAGTTTAGCAAAATGCCCATTAATCACAGACAATGTTGAGTTTTTATAGATAGACTTTGGCAAACCAATATAAAATAGGAGATCTTTCAAACTTTGAAAATATTATATAATTTTGTAGTAAAGAGTTAACTCAGCAAGTTGGGTGGTCCCCAACCTGAACATTCCAAAGAAAGGTTTGGTCCTTGCCTAGCTCCTGGGAGGTAACCTCTAAGCCCTTGGAATATCTTGCCAAGGTATCTTTGACAAGAATATCTTTGTTTAGCTGGGGGTCTTGGACCATGACAGTTTCTGCTAACAATGTGATTTATGGTGAGGTCTAGAGTCAGTTTGACCTCTGGAGGGGTTGGAAACTGAAGTTTTGCCTTTAGGCAGTCTGCCATGCCCACAGGACCGAACTTCAGGAAAAATACTGGATACCAAAGCTCAGGTTAACCTCTTTTGGTTGCTAGTACTCTGGCCATGTTTTCACACTCATGGGAGAATAAAGCACCATCTGTCCCCACAGCTTCACTGGGAGAGAGTTGGGCGTGGTGCCTCTTGGATGCTTTATGGGAGTTTTATCCTTGCTGATTTTAATCTGTATTCTTTCATGGTAATAAACTATACCCATGAGTTAAACAGTTTTCTTGAGTTTTGTGAGTCCTGTTAGCCTAAGGGTGATCTTGAGGATACTCGTCAGAACAGTAAATTAATCACAATTAATGCATTCTGATCTGAAAGCAAAGTGTATTATTTTAACAAATTGTTGTTCATAAATAGCATATAGTGAAAATAGGTTCAATAAACTATCAAATTTAGAAATAATTTCCCATATTTTTATTCATAAAAATAAATTTTTATACTTTATCATAATAAATTAATGAAGATGGTGTTTGTATTTTATGCATAGATATTAATTCATTTCTACCAATTAAAACATTTYCTTGATTAAAACTTTGGTTATAAGACAATTAATAACCCCTAAATTATTGCATAAAAAAGAAAATAATTTTGGAAAAGAATCAAGAAACTTTAGTTTAAGGCACTTTGTTCCTTTTTTTTTTTTAAATTACAGATTCTATCCTGTTCTTTTGTTTGTAATTGCACATAAGATATTTTTAAGTTCATAGTTTTGCAACTTAAAAAGGAAACTGACATTGTACTAGGTTCCTTTGCAATAGTAAGAGAAGGAGTTTTTATTCTTTGACTATTAAAATCCTCCCTCTCAAGAGTCATCCTTTGTTACTTAGTGATTCATTGACTTTTCAGCTGTGTGTTGAGTTTTTATGTGAATTTCTAGAAATCAGTTCAAGTCAACAAATATACACTCAAATCAGTTTAGAAATAGTTTGTGATTATGAAGATATTCTTGAATTAAAAAGTTAAAAGAGAACCATTCTACTATTTTAAAATTGTGGGTGAAAGTGTATGTAAGAATTTGTTGTTAGTTTTTAGAAAAATATTTTCACTTATATAATTTGACACCGATAAATAGGTGATCCAAAAAAAAAGACAAAATAAGCCCTATGATCCTTAATCAATTATACTTCTAAGTAAAAGTGTTCTGCTTGTATGTGTGTTTGTGTGTGT